GGACAAATCGACTGTCAATAAAATACAATACCCTGAAGCTGTTCACATTAGTGTACTTTTTATTTCCCTTCCACCTTCAAAATCAATATGAACTCAATTTTAGCTTATAAAGGTTATGATCAAAGACAAGGAAACAGCCACGATTTTTATGTGTCCTTGAAAAGCTGCCTGCCCTGTGGAGTTTTTCGAATTCTCAAGCAATACGAGCCTGATCTGTTCCAGAATAAACAAATAAAAATCAGCTTTCCCTGAAACTGACCTTGTACGGATCATGGTCACGATCAACAAACTCTCTACAAGGTGTTTTGACCAAATATTTCATTTCGTATACGGATTCTCAGAGTTTTTGGTCTGAGAACTACACTTGGCACATTCACCATTTTTGTAAATAAGTCAAACTTTATCTACCTATCTCTCAGAAACTAATCATAGGATTGATTTGATCTCATAGAAACATTTATTCGAAAAGTCAAGAAATATATCATACTGAGTCTTTAAACAAATCGACTGTCAATAAAATACATGACCCTGAAGCTGTTCACATTACTGCACTTTTTGTTTCCCTTCCACGTTCAAAATCAACGTGACTTTAATTTTAGCTTGTAAAGGTTATGATCAAAGACAAGGAAACAACCACGATTCTTCTGTGTCCTTGAAAAGCTGCCTGCCCTGTTGGGTTTTGTGAATTCTCAAGCCTGGTCTGTTCCAGAATAAACAAATAAAAATCAGCTTTCCTTGAAACTGACCTTGTAAGGATCATGATCACGATCAACAAGCTCTCTACAAGGTGTTTTCAACAAATATTTTTTTAGTATACGGATTCTCAGGGTTTTTGGTCCGACAACTACAATCGGTACATTCACCATTTTTGTAAATAAGGCAAACTTTATCTACCTATTTCTCAGAAACTAATCATAGGATTGATTTGATCTCACAGATACATTTATTCGAAAAAGGAAGAAATATATCATACTGAGTCTTTAGACAAATCGACTGTCAATAAAATAGATTACCCTGAAGCTGTTCACATTAGTGCACTTTTTATTTCCCTCCCACCTTCAAAATCAATATCAACTCAATTTTAGCTTGTAAAGGTTATAATCAAAGACAAGGAAACAATCACGATTTTTCTGTGTCCTTGAAAAGCTGCCTGTCCTGTTGAGTTCTGTGAATTCTCGAGCAATACGAGCCTGATCTGTTCAGGAATAAACAAATAAAAATCAGCTTTCCCTGAAACTGACCTTGTAATGATCATTATCACGATCAACAAGCTCTCTACAAGGTGTTTTGACGAAATATTCCTTTTAGTTTACGGATTCTCAGAGTTTTTTGACATGAGAACTACAATTGGCGCATTCTCCATTTTTGCAAAACGCGCAAATTTTATGTACCTGTTTCTCAGAAGCTAATCATAGGATTGATTTGATCTCATAGACACATTTATTCGAAAAGGCAAGAAATATATCATACTGAGTCTTTAGACAAATCGACTGTCAATAAAATACATGACCCTGAAGCTGTTCACATTAGTGCACTTTTTATTTCACTTCCACGTTGAAAATCAACATGACCTTAATTTTAGCTTGTAAAGGTTATGATCAAAGACAAGGAAACAACCGCGGTTTTTCTGTGTCCTTGAAAAGCTGCCTGCACTGTTGAGTTTTGTGATTTTTCGAGCAATGCGAACCTGATCCGTTCCAGAATAAACAGATAAAAATCAACTTTCCCTGAAACTGACCTTGTAAGGATCATGGTCATGATCAACAAGCTCTCTACAAGCTGTTTTAACGAAATATTTCTTTTAGTATACGGATTTTCGGAGTTTCTGGTATGAGAACTACAGTTGTCACATTCACCATTTTTGTAAATAAGTCAAATTTTATCTACCCATTTCTCAGAAACTAATCATAGGATTGATTTGATCTCATAGACACATTCATTCGAAAAGGGCAAGAAATATATCATACTGCGTTTTTAGACAAATCGACTGTCAATAAAATACAATACCGTGAAGCTGTTCGCATTAGTGCACTTTTTATTTCCCTTCCACGTTCAAAATCAACATGACCTTAATTTTAGCTTGTAAAGGTCATGATCAAAGACAAGGAAACAACCACGATTTTTCTCTGTCCTTGAAAAGCTGCCTGCCCTGTTGAGTTTTGTAAATTATCGAGCAATACAATACGAGCCTGATCCGCTCCAAAATAAACTAATAAAAATCAGCATTCCCTGAAAATGAACTTGTAAGGATCGTGGTCACGATCAACAAGCTCTCTACAAGGTGTTTTAACAAAATATTTCTTTTAGTATACGGATTCTCAGAGATTTTGGTTTGAGAACTACAATTGGCACATTCACCATTTTGCAATTCGTGCAAATTTTAACTACCTATTTCTCAGAAGCTAATCATAGGATTGATTTGATCTCATAGACATATTTATTCAAAAAGGCAAGAAATATATCATACTGAGTCTTTAGACAAATCGACTGTCAATAAAATACATTACCCTGAAGCTGTTCACATTGGTGCACTTTTTATTTCCCTTCCACCTTCAAAATCAACATGACCGTAATTTTAGCTTGTAAAGGTCATGATCAAAGACAAGGACACAAACCACGATTTTGCTGTGTCCTTGAAAAGTTGCCTACCCTGTTGAGTTTTGTAAATTCTCGAGCAATACGAGCCTAATCTCTTCCAGAATAAACAAATAAAAAGCTTTCCCTGAAACTGACCTTGTAGGGATCATGGTCACGATCAATATGACACCTGCCAACATCTTTCTACAAGGTGTTCTAATGAAATATTTCTTTTAGTATACGGATTCTCAGATATTTTGGTATGAGAACTACAATTGGCACGTTCACCATTTTTGCAAATCGTGCAAATTTTATCTACCTATTTCTCGAAAACTAATCATAGGATTGATTGGATCTCATAGGCACATTTATTCGAAAAGACAAGAAATATATCATACTGAGTCTTTAGACAAATCGACTGTCAATAAAATAAATTACCCTGAAGCTGTTCACATTAGTGCAGCTTTTATTTCCCTTCCACCTTCAAAATCAACATGACCTCAATTTTAGCTTGTAAAGATTATGATCAAAGACAAGGAAACAACCACGATTTTTCTGTGTCCTTGAAAAGTTGCCTGCCCTGTTGAGATTTGTGAATTCTTGAGCAATACGAGCCTGATCTGTTCCAGAATAAACAAATAAAAATCAGCTTTCCCTGGAGCTGACCTTGTAAGGATCATTGTCACGGTCAACAAGCTCTCTACAAGGTGTTTTAACCAAATATTTCTTTTGGATTCTCGGAGTTTTTGGTCAGAGAACCGCAATAGACACATTCACCATTTTTGCCAATAAGGCGAGCTTTATCTACCTATTTCTCAGAAACTAATCATAGGATAGATTTGATCAGCTTCCCCTGAAACTGACAGATCAACAAGCTCTCTACAAGGTGTTTTAATGAAATATTTCTTTTAATAAACGAATTCTCCGAGATTTTGGTATGAGAACTACAACTGGCACATTCACCATTTTTGTAAATCAGGCAAACTACCTATTTCTCAGAAACTAATGATAGGATTGATTTGATCTCATTTATTCGAAAAGGCAAGAAATATAGCATACTGAGTTTTTGGACAAATCGACTGTCAATAAAATACATTACCCTGAAGCTGTTCACATTAGTGCACCTTATATTTCCCTTCCACCTTCAAAATCAACGTGAACTCAAGTTCAGCTTGTAAAGGTCATGATGAATGACCAGGAAACAACCACGTTTTTTGTGTGTCCTTGAAAAGCTGCCTGCCCTGTAGAGTTTTGTGAATTCTCGAGCAATAAAAGCCTGATCTGTTCCAGAATAAACAAATTAAAATCAGTTTTCCCTGAAACTGACCTTGTAGGGATCATGATTACGATCAACAAGCTCTCTACAAGGTGTCTTATCGAAATATTTCTTTTAGTATACGGATTCACAGAGTTTTTGGTTTGGAACTACAATTGGCACATTCGCCATTTTTTGCAAATCAGACAGACTATCTACCTATTTCCCAGAAACTTATCATAGGATTGATTTGATCTCACAGATACATTTATTCGAAAAAGGAAGAAGTATATCATACTGAGTCTTTAGAAAAATCGACTGTCAATAAAATACATTACCCTGAAGCTGTTCACATTGGTGCACTTTTTATTTCCCTTCCACCTCCAAAATCAACATGAACTCAATTTTAGCTTGTAAAGGTCATGATCAAAGACAAGGACACAATCACGATTTTTCTATGCCCTAGAAAAGCTGCCTGCCCTGTTGAGTTCTGTGAATTATCGAGCAATACGAGCCTGATCTGTTCCAGAATAAACATATAAAAATCAACTTGTCCTGAAAGTTACCTTGTAACGATTATGGTCACGATCAACATGACACCTCCCAACACCTTTCTACAAGGTGTTCTAATGAAATATTTCTTAGAATATGCTGAGTCTCACAGTTTTTAGTATGAGAACTACAATTGGTACATTCACCATTTTTGTAAATAATGAAAATTATCCGCGTATTTCTCAGAAACTAATCATAGAATTGCTTTGATCTGATGGACACCTTTGCTCGGAAAGACAAAAAATATATCATTTCTGGGGGTGTTGTCTTGCAATCCACTTCTCCATCTTCCTCCTAGCTCTTTGCGCGGGCACCCCTAAAGCTGCCTCAGGACCAACGAGCATCCGTATTGTACAAGTATTTCCTTGTTAGCTAAGCCTTTTCAAAAGTCAGTGTCACTTGGTAATTTAATCATTTACATCAATTTATAATTCATTTATAAGAAACTATAAAATGTTGTCACTCTGTTGGTTCAACATGTAGATTGCTACTCTATGTTTTAATTTCAAATATGCCCTATATCGCTAAAATGTCTGTATGTATTTTTTGAGACTGTGTTAAATAAATCTATGGTATTGAGACTATTTTTCTGTGATTGCATCTGCTTTGTTTCCAGGCAACTTCTACAAGGATTGTAGGAGGGATTTGGTGGTTTTTCACACTGATAATAATATCTTCATACACTGCTAACCTAGCTGCGTTTCTCACTGTTGAACGCATGACTACGCCTATCGAAAGTGCCCAGGATCTAGCAGAACAAACGGATATAGCATACGGAACCCTGGAAGGTGGAAGCACAATGACTTTCTTTAGAGTAAGTGAATCATTTGTTGTTTGAATGTGTCACAGTTACAATGGCGGAAAGTTAACCAACAGCAACGTACTCATCTTGATGACATTCGCAGAGCAACGAATCTTTTTCATGAAGTGAGAAATGGGTCTTCATGAATTCCGCAATGATAGTCCAGGACTGTTAGACTTTCTCTGCTGAAAAAATCCCACCTGGCTGAATTTTTTACCAGTGCTTCTTTTCAGCATTATAAATCATCCCTCAAGAGTCCCCACGAATCCAAGTGGAGCTTTTTTTATGGGGGGTCAAAGGTCATAAAAACACTTGTCTCCATATATCTTCGGAAATATCTATTCTACGATAAAATAAGCTATTACCTTTTTTGTTCAGTATGAAATTATCCACAAAAAAGGATCAATGCATTTTTTTCGTAGAGATCGTTTTTAAAGAAATTTTACTTTCATTTCTGAACATTGAGAAAATTGTAAAATAACGTGCTTTTTTCCACGTCACCATAGAGATAAAGTACTAGACGCGTTTTTTATCATGTGGTCTCCACAATAAAAATGACGTCAATGCCCCACAGTCAGATACTCATAGAGCCTCTACTACAAGCATTCAAAAAGAAAACGATGTCAAAATACGGTTTGACGTGAAATTTTCGATTTTTGTCAATTAGTAGTAGTAGTAGAAAGATTTATTTAGCACATTTGGCTACATAAACAGAATAATTGTAAACAACTTAGAACTAGTAAATTCAAGCTGGGCAACCTATAATTGTAGATTTAACAAGTCATTTCTCAATTTTACTTTAAATTTTGTCAAAGTTTTCTGGTCTTTTTATCTCTCTCTCTTTTTGGTCATTAAATGGAAGTCATCTTTATTTGTGGTATTATGTAAGTGATGGTCGACATTTGATGATATTAAATTAGTAAGACTTGATGGAAATATATTATTTTTTACTTTATAAATGAATATCATTACAAGATATTAGATAAAAATTTTTACATTGAGCCATTTTAATTTGCTAAGCATTTGCCTAATTGGAGTATATTTATCTTTATTTAGTATTATTCTCATGCACTTATTTTGTAAAATTTGCAGTCTTTCAAAAATGGAATTATTTGCTAAATATAGAATAGTCGAACAGTACAAGAAATTTGGAAGAATGATAGATAATTTTTCTGCTATGTGAACTCAGACATCCTGAAACTCTAGATAAATATCCCACTTTACTACTAATCTTATTTATAACTTTTTCATAATGAATATCAAAAATTAATCGAGAGTCAACAAAAACCCCCAGGTATTTAAAATTTTCTACGAATTCAATATCTTCACCATCAATATTCAGTTGAACATTTGTACATTGTTTTTTTACGATTAACAAGGCTTTCGTTTTACTTGTATTTAATTTTAGTCTGTTAGATGCTAACCATTTTGAGACAAGTTTCAAGTCTTCATTTATATAAGAGATACCAGTCTGAATATTTTTAGTACTTATATAAATCATAGTGTCATCGGCGAAAATCTGAATTTTGCATTTTTTGACTATGGCACTAAATCATTTATGTATAAAATAAAAAGAAGTGGTCCCAGGATACTGCCCTTCTATAAACTGCATTAATTGGTCATGCACTATGGACTCTAATAATTTTTCAATGTCTGGTAACACATTTACTGGTCTCATATCGCTGCATCTTTTAGAATTTTTTATTTTGGGAACTGGTGTTATTGTAGAGCATTTCAAATTTTCAGGAAATGAACTGCTTCTCAGTGAACAATTGATCCAATTTAATACAGGATATCCCAAAATTTCGAAACAGTTTTTCAGCACGTGTTTGGTAGTGATTTCGGCACAGTTGTCATTTGATTTTAAACGGTTTACTTTTTTTCTTAGATAATTCAATGATACGCTGTGAAATTTTGAAAGTGTATGCAACATTTCCCCCTGGAAACTGATTTTCATATAGTCAGGTGCAGCATTGCCAGTACCCACAATATCAACAATACTTTCCACAAAATATTCATTTAGTTTGCTTGCAATCACCAAAGAATTTGTTTCGGTACCGTTTTCGAATTGAACTTGATTTACACAATAATGCGGTTTCGAATTGATTAGTCTTTTTAAAGTCTTCCACATCTTTAAACTGTCGCACTTGTTATTATCGATTTGTTTATCGTAGAATTTCCTTATTTCTTCTCTAATTATATACACACATTTATTCCTAAGAGTTTTATATACCTCCCAATCATCATTTGATTTTGTGAATATACATTTATTGTATTGTTTGTCTCTCAAATTTTGAGCTGCCTTAATATTCTTGTTATACCAGGGTGTATGTTTTGTCGAGCAAATCACTTTTTTATCAGTTGCAAGATCTAAACAAGTTTTTATATTTCCTATTATGTTGTCATATATTTTTTCCATATTCTCACCAAAATTCCAATATCAGCCAGCAAGTTCTCGTTAAAGTTTTTCGTACTTAATAGTATTTACGATTTTCTTAATTTTTATATCAGAAAAATGCCCTACCAAGGGCAGCATTGTCCAACTGTGATCACTAACTTTAGGTGTATGTACAGCTTTAATCCCTGCACATTCGAAATTTACAATAACAAGACCTAACAAAGTCTCTGATAATGATGTTATTCTGGTACTTATTCTGGTTTCTTTCAATTTCCTTGTTTTCATGCTTTTACCATAATAATTTAAATTAATATCACCTAAAAGTATTATATTGTTTCTAAAATTCCACATTTCTTCGCATTTTTCTTCAAAAAACGTTAAAAATGAGTCCGCATCACTGTTTGGTGAACGGTAAAAAAGTACAAAGATCATAACGTTTCCCAGATAATTTGAACTGTATATGTACATACCAGTATGCATAGTCTATAGTGGTACAATCGAATAATTTGATTTCACGCAATTTTCTGTAAATTGGCGGTCTCAACGAAAAAAATGCCTCAAACCTTTTTTGTGGAGAATATTATACTGAATAAAAAAGGTAATAGCTCTTTTTATCGTAGAGTTGATATTTTCGAAGATATATGGAAAATAGTGTTTTTGTGACCTTTCACCCTCCCATAAAAAAAGCTCCACTTGGGTTCATGGGGACTTTTGAAGAATGATTTATAATATTGAAAAGAAGCTCTAGTAAAAAATTTAGCCAGGTGGGATTTTTTCAGCGGATTATCCTTCTTTTCGTCTAATAGTCCTGGACTATGGAGCAATGGAAAGACTTCTGTCCTAGGATGTTCGACTCTAGTATTCCTTTCTGGAAAGTTGCAAAGTCACTTAGAAATGGAAAGCGAGAACAACGCACATTAGGATGCCCCAAAGAGAATGAAAGTTCTTTTTTTCAAACGCATGCCATCTAACTTTGCTTGAACAATGTGAAATCAATTGTAAATAAAGTTTCATGTACCTATGCAGCTCTCATCTATCTTTCATATTTAACCAGTTTGTTTCGATTAACTTATATATACTTATGAACATGCTACTTTTAGGATTCAAAAATTGGGATCTACCAGAAAATGTGGCGTTTCATGGAAAGCAAAAAGCCTTCTGTTTTTGTAAAGACCTATGAAGACGGAATAAAGCGGGTTCTAGAAGGAAACTATGCTTTTCTCATGGAATCGACGATGCTGGACTATGCTGTGCAAAGAGACTGCAACTTGACTCAAATCGGAGGGCTGTTGGATTCAAAAGGTGAATTATTTTATAGGGTGTCCCAACAAAAATTAAAAGTTGTTTTATGAGCAAATTGGTGAAGATACCAAAGATCTGTTTTCGTCGTACTTGTGCATATTTTAAAATTATTTCAATATGTACAGGGTGTTCCACAACTTCGTGCCAGAATAAACATGTATTTTATTAAATACCAAATTTTATTGCACAATTGGATAGAACATCTAAAAACAAGAGGGTTTATATCACATAGCATACGATTTCGATTGTCAACTGTTTAGACATTTAGTGAAATATACTAAGTGACATATAAATCCGAACACCCAGTTTAAATGGTTTTATTTTAATAAAATTTTGAATAAGTACTTAATGAAGCATAATAAGTAAATGATAAAAATTTCAAAATGATTGCACTGCTTTAAAGCCCTTTGACCTTTAATCATGTGTGGATGTACCCTGATGTGCTACGCATTCTCCAACGCGCCTAGGCATGCTTCTGATCAGGTGGTCAATGTCCTCCTGTGGTATCTCATTCCAGGCAACCACCAACTCCTCTCGAAGTGCTTCTAGAATCTGAGGAGGACGTTGCAAATTGAGCAATCTCCTACCCATCATATCCCACACGTGCTCAATTGGGGATAAGTCGGGAGATCTTGGTGGCCATGGTAACAATGTGACATCATTATGTTGAAAGAAGTCTATTGTGACTCTTGCAACATGTGGTCGTGCATTATCTTGTTGGAAAGTTGCATCTGCCAGGGTGTCAAGATAGGGTAAAAGATGGGGTTCTAGAACTTCGTGAATATAACGCTGCGCGTTCATGTTACCTCTGATGAAGATTAAAGGTGACCTGGACCATAAGCTATAGCACCCCAAACCACAACTCCAACAGTGTGATGAACATGTCTTTCAACAAAAAACTGTGGATGCCTCCTTTCACCACGTCGCCTTCTAACCCTGGCACGACCATCGTGCATGCCTAAACAAAATCGAGACTCGTCACTAAAGACAATACTGTTCCATTCCTGATCCCAGAGTGACCGTTGTCTGCACCACTCAAGGCGATTACGTCGGTGTTCTCGAGTTAAAGGGAGGACCCAGTGTGGCCGGTATGAAAACAAGCCAAAACTTCTCATTCGTCGGTAAACACTTCGCATGCCAATAGGTCTTCCGTGTTCTGCAAACTATTCATTTGCAATGGACCTGGTAGTGGAGAAACGGTCCCTTAAGGCCAATAATCTTAGGCGGCGATCTTCACGGTCTGTTGTTCTACGGCGGCGTCCAGTGCCCCTTGCTCTTTGCGTACGGCCTTCTCGAAGCCATACCTGACAACACCTAACCACAGTGTCTACACTTCTTTGCACTCTAACTGCAATTGCCCGAAAAGAAAGTCCAGCTTCCCGAAGTCCCACTATACGGCCCCTATCAAACTCACTAAGTTGACAAAATCGTACAGGTCTCCGTACTCTAGGCGTCGTAACCGATCGTAAAGGATGTCAAGAACCAAAATCCGCCAACGTTGATTCTTTACTGCGGCTGAAATATTCATTTTTAGAGCGTTAGTGAATTAAAAAAAAGCAGTATAAAAACCGGAATGTCCAACTGATAGGGATGAAAATTTTTTCACTTGTTATTTACAGTAAGATAAATACATTCACCAACTTTTATTAAAATAAAACCATTTAAACTGGATGTTCGGATGTCACTTAGTATCTCAAAAACTTAATTTTGAAGGCTCACAGCTCCGCCATTTTTGAAGATATTTAGATAAATTTTAATTCACAAACATCAATTTCAAGCTGATCTGAAAGAAATGCTGAAATATCTTTCTATTTATGCATATGGGTAATATATTCGAACAATTTATCAACGACTGATTGCCTTAGGTTGAGATTATTTCTGTTGTGTGTGTAAAATATTGGATTTTATGTTTAAATACAAGATGTATTTGGTTTTCCTTGAAACTAATAGCAGTAACTAAAAATCGTCTGGAAAAAACTTGTATTAACTTTATACAAAAAAAAACTATTTAACCATGTAGAAATATAGCTTGTGTTCCATTTGAAATTGAAAAAATGTATAAATAAAAAGAAATTTCAGCACTTTTTCCAGATCAGCTTAAAATCAATGATAATAAAATTTTTGTGAACTAAAATTTATCTGAATATCTTGCCGGTGCGAAAGGGTCTTCGGTTTTGGTCATTTACCAGTAATCTGAATTTCTCTTTTTTCAGAGTACTGATTACTAGGCCAAACCCTTTTCAATTATTTTCTTTCTTAGAACGACAAGAGTTCGTTTGACTGAAAATTTATACATTTTGCTAATTTGCAGCTTATTATGGAAGTAAATGATATTAAATTTAAATTTAATCTTACACCAGGTTACGGCATAGCAACACCTAAAGGTAGTCCGTGGAGAGATAAAATATCTTTAGCGATATTGGAGCTTCAAGAAAAAGGCTTAATACAAATCCTGTATGACAAATGGTGGAAAAATACCGGCGACGTTTGTAACAGGGATGAGAAGAATAAAGAGTCTAAAGCAAATGCTCTTGGGATCGAAAATATTGGTATGTTATTTCTACAAATTACCACCTCTGTTATTTGTCTGAAGTTGCTTACTTTTTATGAATCTTATGACATAAGAACATAAGAAGACCATCTTAAATTATATGCCACAAAATGTCTTCTGTTTTGCCTTGTCGGAGAACAAAGAGCAAAATAAAAGCACGAGGGCATATTGATTCGTTGCCATTTACTTATCATTAGGCAGAAAAGCCAAGTATTTAAATAAATGGTACTGCCACGTTATCTGCTTTTCACATAAAGTAATAATAATAAAATGGTTATTGTCACAAAGTACAGGAAAAGCCTACGTATGATATCAACATATGCACAACAAACATAAAGTACCCAAAAAAGTTTTCACTTGTGCCTGGGTTAGTTAAAACTAAAAGTACAATAAATGACTGAACAATCATGTACGAGCCCCTTCCCACTTCAGTTGGCCCACTTCAAGATTTGTACCAAAGTATGCCTTTATAAAAAAAACATGACGAAACTATTTACTTCTAAAACAATTTATCTTCTCATAAACATTTTAGATACACTCTAGTCGTAAAAAATACATATTTGAAATCACTTAGACCTATAACTAATAGAACATCTGAACAAATAAACAATGTGCGAATAAATGCGCGAAGTTAACAAAGCAACAATTGAAAGATTACCATTGGGTAACATCACCTTTATTTTTTATTACGGCTGAAATTCTTTGGGGCATAGTGTTAACCAAGTTTTGGCAAAAATTTGGTGTAAAACAATCCCATATTTCTTGAAGCTTTTGTGTCAGTTCGGTGATTGTACGAGCAGAATGTTGTCGTAGAACCTTTTTCATCTCGTGCCACAAAGTTTCAATAGGTGACAGATCTGGACTGCTAGAAACCCATTTCAAAAGTGGTACATTATTTTCTTCCATCCATTTTATAACCTTTTTTGAGGTATGGCACGCTGCACCATCTTGCTGAAACACAAAATCTTGGCCGGATGTCAAACATTCTTCCATCACTGGTAAAAGCGATTCTTCTAAAATTGCCAAATATTTATTGTTTGTATCCACATTTCCATCAATAAAATGAAGTTTTCCTACTCCTTTTGATGACATAATGGATAATGGAAATTTCACTTTTCTCTTCAGACAGTCAACATGGAATGCTTCATTTTTTTGCGAATAACTCTACTGCGAGTGTCACCAACACAAACTTCGAATCGGACCTCATCACTCCATTGTATTGCACACCATTGTTGAGGTGTCCATTGTCTATGTTCTTTAGCCCATCTAAGCCGATTTTTCTTTTTCAGTGGAGTTAATAGTGGCTTTTCTTTGGCCTATAAACAAGTTGTGCCACTTTAGGGTTTTTACTTCACTTTTTTTATAAGACAACTTGCCTTGCAAGTGCTAAATCCCAGTTTGTGGGCCTCTCTATGAGTTGTGGACCTCGAAATTCTCCTTCCAACAGCGTCGCTATACAGAGCACTAACTTGTAAATAATTGGCACGTTTTTCACGATTATTCTTCTTAATGCTCTTCGGTCGGCATTTGTGATATTACTTTTTTCACATATCGTGGCTTAATATTAACTGAACCAGTTACGTTATATCTTCTAACAATATTTCTCAGACTGTACCGCGATAAGTATAACAAAGTTGCAATTTCTGAGTTTGATTTCCCAGAATTAAAAAATTTAATTATCAGTAACCGAATTTTCTCACTAATAACATTTCCTCTACACATTTTGAAATCCTTAACTACCCAGAACTATTTTAAACGTATTCTGACAGCTGTGATTAATAAAAACAATTATCATGGCTTTTATTTTTCACAGCCACCTATGCGTTATAGACTTATTTTGCATTGAAATGAAAATATGATGATATGCTGTAATTGCAACATGTGTTATTTTTATGCTGCAAATTTGATTAGGGAGTGATAAAGTTGGTGTTTTCTACTATATATTATCAAAATATTCATTGTTAATATTTTAAAACTATAACACCATGCTACATTTTTATTATTTGTATAAGAAAAAAACTAAGATTTCAATAGTTGGGCCAACTGAAGTGGGAAGGGGCTCGTATATGCTATATAATTTTGTGATTTGAATTAATATGGCGATGTTTGGCAGAAAAAACAAGAAAATTATAACTCAAGTAAATTAAAGTTAGTGAAATAGTGGGTATAGATTTTGATATTGATTTTCATGGAGCATCTTAGTTGAAGATCAATTTATTGAGTACTTCTTTAAATGATCTAATTGAATTAATCGCTCTTAATGGCTCTGGTTGGAAGTTATAGAGTTGTGGTCCCAAGAAAAAAAAATCGTTGAGTAATGGTTTGTGATGTTTGTGGAATACATACAACAACTGTTTCGAATGTTTAATATAACATACTAAACCACTATAAAAATAAATTCTAGTAGTTGAGCCTCCATATAGAAAGAATGATTTGGATAAGTACCTTCCTTATAGAGGATCAATTTTAGAATTAATTTTTGGACAACATTTTGTAATTATTATGTATAACTCCCTCCAAGCCAAAGTTCCGTAAAGTAGTAGAGAGTAAACAAGGGCATAATAAAGATTGTATAGATATTTTTCATTCAGAATATCTCTGAAGTATCTGGATTTTGGAACAATATAATCTGTGACATTAGAAGTGTTAGACCCAGAAAAATTAATTAGTTCAACTTGTTTTTTTTGGCAACATTATTTAAAGCATGTTATGGCAATAAGGTTAACGTTTTATCTTTGTCTTTGTTTACCTTTATTAAAATGTTATATAATAATAATAAACCGTCTTTTATTAGAAAAAACAAATTACAGTAAATGCATACATTATTATCTATAATTAGATTAGTGAGCAGCTAATGGCGAAGTTTAGCTATGGCAGCTATTCTTATACTTAACCATTGACTGCATAAGAATAATAGATGGTAAAAAAGTACAGCTGTAAAGAAAATAAATGGAGGAAAATGCCCATGCAACTGATTACAACCTAAATAAAAATTAGTTTAAAAATATAATGCTGGAGAAAACCACCTTTAAGAATCACCATTGAGCAGAAGAGCTCTTAAGCGTTTTTTAAAACTATACAGCGGCAGGCTTTTTGGTCTGTAATCTAAGCTATTGTACAACATGCATGCTTTATATGAGAAGGACCTGTTAAAAACAGATGAACTATGAAGTGGATTTGTTAAAGCGAATTTGTTACGCATATGTCGTTGATGAACATTATACCTAAAAATTAGTTTTTCACGTAAATAAATTGGAGTTCCAGAGACAAGTAACTTATGCATAAAGGTTAGATAGGTGTATTTAACTAAATCTGTCATCTTTAACCAACCTATTAAAGGATAACGATCCGAAACATGATCAAATTTTCTTAAACTAAATATGAATCCTACGCAGTTATTTTGTACTACAGATATTCTGTTACGACTTGCAACGTCCAAACAAGGATGATAAACTAGACTGCAATAATTAAAAATAGATAACACAAAAGATTCACACAGCTTTTTTCGCACTTTAAAATTCACAACTTTGTAAGAGGTTATTTAAATGCTCACGAAGCCGCACATTTTCATCAATAAACACACCCAGACACTTGACACTTTCAGAAAAAGGAAGATTTTGATTGTTAATAGATATACTCAAGGAAGCTTTGACTTCGGCTCTTCTGTGATTTGGACAAAGCAGCACAGCAGAAGATTTAGAAGCATTAACGGTTAGGCTGTTATTGGCTGAGTAGGTGCAAATAGAGTCAATGTCCTCGTTAATTTCCATAGTAGCAGTCTGGAGGTTCTCAGGATAATGAAGTAAAGCAGTTGATTGTCATCCGCATGAAACTGTAGCTGTAAATTTTGAATGGACTTATCAATATCGGCTACATAAATTAAAAATAACAAGGGTCCTAAAATTGAGCCCTGAGGCACACCCGAAGTGATAAAGTGCTCATTTGACAAAACTCCAGAAAGTGAGACGCGCTGAGGACGGTGGGTTAGGTATGATTTAAAAAACTGCAGTGCTATTTTATCAAAACCATAAAATTTTAGCTCAGCGCACATCAGTGCGTGATCAATTCTATCAAAGGCCTTGGAGAAATATAATATCTTAGTTTTGTGAAGAAAGCAGTTTCTCAGAGCTGAGTAGTACAGATATTTTTAGTTATTGCCCTTTCGTTTACTAGTGTCAAGCATAACAAAATGCCTCGAGGTCGAAGACGTCCAAATTATCTCCATATTAGCGACTTTGACAGGGATAGAATTATTGCCTATCGAGATGTTGGTTTGTCCTATCGCGAATTTGGTCGTCGTGTTAATTGTACTGCAATGTCGGTAATGCGAATGTGTCATGTGTGGATAGAAGAAAGGCATCGCAAAATTTGTGAATCCTACCAGTTTGAAAATTGCTATTGAAAAAGTTTATGAATTGAAGGATGGTGGGGTGAAAATCCAATGTAAAACAAAAGATGATAACGCGAAGCTACATAAAGAAATAACATCAAAAATGCCAGAAACATATACAGTGAAAACTTCAGAGATAAGTAAAAAACCACAAATCAAAGTTATTGGATTTTGTCAAGAATATGCAGAAGACGAGCTAATAAATACTATAGAATCACAAAATGAATCTTTTCAAGAAAATTCACATATGAGAGTAATTACAGTCAAGAAAATGAAAACTGAATATCAAGCAATTTTAGAAGTGGATGCTGTGACTTTTAAGTGTGTTATGAATCAGGGTGTTATTTTTATCGACATGTCTGTTTGCTCTGTTTTCGAGTACATCAATGTTTTGCGATGCTATAAATGTACCGGATTTAACCGCACAGCTAAATACTGCACAAACACAGGAAGTCAGGAAGATATATTACTTGTGGATTAGAAGGACATTCAACAGAAAACTGTAGTACCAGTGAAATGTACAAATGCTGTCCAAATTGTAAAAGTGCAAGCCAGGATTTTAATCTAGGATTACCTATTAATCATGGACCATTTGACAAAAATTGTGAAGTATATAAAAGGAAAATTGAGCGCAACTACTAAGACCAGATTTGCAAGATGTGGCTAAATCTGAAAGTGATGAATATAACTC